ATTTCCCCCATCTGCAGTCTAAAGTGGCACAGTCTCAATCTATGAAATCTTTCCCATCACATTCTGCAGCATGTGTCATTCAAAAGCTCCTGAGTGGATGTAAAACTTGAAGGATCCTTATTGTAATTTGTTTAGATGTTAACAGAAGGTGGAGCTATTGCACTGCTTTACTTTGAGCTGCAAAACATCAAGCTAGGGGTGGGAGATCCGTAAAATAAGAGTATGAGCACATACGCACACACCTACTATCCTCCCTCACTCACAGGCACCCAGAGCAAGACTCCCTCTGCTCTAGAACGGCTGCTCCTGCTCCTGCTCCTGCTCCTGCCACTGCTGGTTATGCCAGCCAACTTGCCTGCCTTTTGCTGTTTCCCTTCACATCCAATTCCATGTGCACCAACAGCCCCAAAGTCTGGTGGCACAGTGGTTAAATGCCACGACTGCATCCACAACACTGTGAGCTTGATCCCAGAGAGCTCCATGGTCGACTCAGCCTTCCATCCTTTTGTAGGTCTGTAAAATGAGTACCCAACTTGTTGGGGGCAATTGGCGTACAGATTGTAAAACGCTTAGAGAGTGCTGAGTTCACTATGAAGTGGTATAAAAATGTAAATGCTATTGCTAAATGCTATTGTGTTTTGCACAACACAGTTTTTTATCCCTGGCAAAAGAAGGCAGGCGGGAGGGAAGGGAAGGAGCCATCGAGACAGTGAGCAAGGAGGGATGCCTAGCTGGGAGTCTGGGGACTTGTTTGGCCAAAGTATCTTTGCAATAGGAGTTTCTTTTTGCCCTTTTCTTTTGGAGTTCCTGGAGGAGAATTCCTGGAGGCCAAGGAGAGGAGGGTTGGCAAGGCAGAGGAATGAGAAGGGGAGTTCCTGTGCCGCTCAAAACTTTGCCAGTCTGAAAACCCAGGCTCCTGTGCTGTGGAAAAGCTTACCCGTTTGCAAGCAACAACTCTTGCACAAAGTAAAAAAACACTTCCAGGGCAGCAATCCAAAGCCTTATCTCCACTCATCTATTTGAAAAGTGCTCCAAAGGCCAAATGGAGAAGCTTTGAGGCCCCATGACTGAAGATTCTTCTCCCTTGTTCTAAAGAAACTGAATTGGGGGTAGCACTTGGAGCCCCTGAAATTTCTCACTGCTTAAAGCCAGAGAGTCAGGGTGGTGTAGTGGTTTGAGCCTTGGACTATGACTCTCAAGATCAGGATTTTGAATCCCGGCTCAGCCATGTAAACTTTCTGGGTGACTCAGGGCAAGTCACATTCTCTCAGTCTCAGAGAATGGCAATGGCACTCCACCTCACACACACTCCGTGAACAAAACTTGCCAGGAAAACCCCATTATAGGGTTGCCTTAGGGTCATCATGAGTTAGGGTTGCCACAACTCAAAGTCATGCAAGAAAGCTGTAGTCTCTCCTTAAAGAGACCCAGAGTACTTTAATGGTTTGAGCATTGGACTATGGCTCTGGAGATCAGGGTTCAAATCCCTGCTTGGCCATGGAAACCCACTGAGTGATTTTGGGCAAATCACACTCTCTCAGCCTCAGAGGAAGGCAAAGGCAATCCTGCTTTGAACAAACCTTGCCAAGAAAACACCATGGTAGGTTCACCTTAGGGTCACCATAAGTCAGAAACTACTTGAAGGCACACGACAACAACAAATGGGAGTCAATGTGTGTTACAATATACATTACAATTTCATTGTCAGTGCGGAGCACTTCCTGAAAGCAGGCAGAATGGAACACACTGTCTTATATAAACTGGAGGGCCAAAAAGTCTTGTTCACTTTCATAAGCAACAGATGAAATTACTTATTTAGGCTGGGGACTTATGTCTTTGTAAGTGGACTTGTCAGAATTAGAATTGGGCAGTTCTGTAACACCTGTGCCCAGTAAAGAGCTGCTGTGACATTATTATATAGAGAAGCCTGTGAAGTAACCAATGCACAATGGGACCAATATGCATTACACATCCATTCCAATATCTAAATATATGTATAGTTACATACACAGTGACAGAGGATTCTGGCTTTCAGTACTTCTTTGTTGCATCTCAGCCCACCAGGGCTCCTGAGGCATGTACAGTAAATAAAAACAGATAGAATGAGTAACAATAGTCCTTTAAAATAAAAGTAAAATGACTTTTTAAAAAACCTAGTTAAAAACACTCTTGAAAGTTTATCACACGGGATGGATCCTGTGCAGAAACTGGATTTAAAGTGAAAACAACCCACAAAAGTGGGTTGTTTTTCAAATGACGTTCAAGGTTAACCTGAACAGAAAGTAGAAATAACCCACCAAAGCAGGTTGGTTTTCACAAGACATTGGCATCAAGGAGAAATAATGCATCATTAATCCGAATGAAAAGTTGCCAAAACCATCTCGGGAATGAGTTTTGGTGACTTTCTGTTTGGGTTAATGTTGCTTTATTTCTCCTTTACACAAACATGTCTGAAAAACAACCCGCTTTTGTGGGGTTTTTTTTCAGATTTTTACATTTCATTTCTGCACAGGATTTAAGCAATTTGCCTCCATGTGATAAACTCCATATAAATAGTCAGTAATCCTATATATACTGACTCACTACTTCCTGAGGAATTCAGTGGTGCTTATGTCTGAGTGGCCATTTATAGGGTTGCTCTCTGAATGTGTTTGGCATGATATATTTATTGCTGGCATTTGTCAGGTAGTGACCTGCTTCACATGAACTGTAGAGAAAAGCTCATATGTACCAGATGAACGACAGAGTTTGTGGGTTAGGAAAAGGAGGGTTGTCTTTGACTATCACCTGGTTCCATTTCTCCAGGAACAGGCATTGGGCAATGGTGGGACTTGCATTGCCAGAAAGTTAGACTGTCATTTCCTCTTCCCTCTACGCCAGGGGTAGGCAACCTTTCCCCTTTAAGGGCCGAGGGACTTCAGCTCCCAGAATCCCAGGAGCTATTGACCAACATGGGACTATTGGCCAACCTGGCTGAGGCTTCTGGGAGCTGAAGTCCCTCGGCCCTTAAAGGGGAAAGGTTGCCTACCCCTGCTCTACGCCTACCCAGTGCCTTTACTTGGCAGTCATTGGATTCTGCCTTCCATGGAAAAACAGCCTTCAGAATCAACACTGAGAAAAGCTATGTTTGCCATTACATGATAGTTACAGGCTGCTCTTTTGCTGGAACATTTAAAATAAACATCTGATATCCTTTCTATCCACAAATCATCCCCCCCCCCCGAGTTTCCAATAAGGTCAATGGCTGCTGGGGCAAAAGATGGCATCCATCCCACATGATGTTAGCCTTGCCAAGTGACACATTTACCCAAAAAGATAAATTGTTTGCCAGGATTTCAACTGGACATTTGTGAAAGTGGCTTACAAAATGGGCCAAACAGCAAATTAAAATCACACCAAACCTTTATGGAAGTAAAAGTAATAAAACAGCAACTTAAGTAGCCTTAAAACAACTAGCAGAAATAAAATGGTGCAACTTGAAGCTCCCAACAAGTAGAGACTTTTATAAAATGGCTCTCACCCCACAGCATGGACTAATAAGAGAGAAAGAAGAACTCTGGTCAAAAGGCTTTGGGGGAACCAGCTCCACCATGGCAAAAAGGCCCAGCTGTATAGGCAGTCTAACAGGTAGAGGCAAGGTCACCAGGAGAAGAGACTTTCCAAGCAAACACAACAGACTGAGAGCAAACCGTCCTGATCACCCTACCTAGGCCTTTTCAGGAAAGATGGGCAAAGTGTGGCCCATGAGCTGCATGTGGCACCCCACACTCCCCATTGCCCCCAAAATGCCCTCAGAGCAGTATGTGGAGAAGTTTTGCTGTATTTTTGGACCTCCAAACTCATTCATTAAAAGACTATATACAAACTGCAAACACAGCACTGCATAGCATTAAAACTCCACTAAAAAGCCGTATGGCTGTATGATTTTGAATATCTTTGCCAGACAAAGGAGCCAGGGAAGTTTTGAAAATAATGTATTTTATACATGATGTATTTTGTGTATTTTGGTTAGCTAATAAAGGTATCGCTGTTTTGTGGACTTTGGATGTTGTGGCATAAAAATTGTTTTGACATGCTGATGGAAAGAGAGCAATGAGGGAGCCATCCTGCACTTTCTTGGGCAGAGAACACTGAATTTCTCAAGAAGTCTCTAAATTGCTACATCTGAAAAAACCTATAAAACACCTAAAAGTTTTTCCCCCCCCCAGGTGTATCAATATAGAGACTTCTTGAGAAATTCAGTGTTTGCTGCTCAAGAAAGAGGCTTATGGCTTCACAAGGGACAGGGACACCCTGGATCCCAAGAGGAGTCATTTTACTGCTGCTAATAGAGTTTACATTTTACTCCATTAAAATTTGCCTTGGTCCCCATATGGCCAATAGGGGAGTGGCCTTTGCCTGCAGAGATTATCACACCCAGAAATCCTGCTGGGATAGATTTAGGATTTAAAAGTTTTATGGCATTTACCTGTTCCCAGGCTGTATATAGCCAGTACCCATCCCGGGCAGCCTGTTTGTGACCCGGACCTTTTTCAGAAACGGGAAAATCTCAGCTGCAGCAAAAGTCTGGGTTGCAGACAGGCTGCCCGGGATGGGTACATGCTACATGTCACCTGGGAACAGGTAAGTGCAATAACATCCATTTTTGAATTTTAAATCTCGCATCTATCCCAGTGGGGTTTCTGGATGCGATAATCTCCTTTATTAAGATCCCTCCAAACCAAACAAACAAGAGTAGAGGCAATATACATACAAAATGTGGGCTTGTGACTCCAGCTCTGTCACTTTCCTTCACCCTGTATGATTTTTTAAAACATCTTTTACCTGATGAAGAAGCTAGTGAAGCTTCAAAAACTTGCATTATGTGTTTTGTGCATTTTGGCTGGTCAATTAACATATTACTCCATAGTAAATTTTGGATTTTGCTGCATGGCCAGCATGGATGCCCCTGAATATGTATCCACAGTAGGTTGCATTCATTAGACTGTATATTTGCTACCGCTATTGTGCGTTCCATTTTGAGCACACTTAAGTTTGTATTATTTAACTTCACTAGAAGCTGAGTACCTATTTGCTTTTCTAAAGCATGGAAATGTGATGGTTTTAACAGGAAAAACTCTTTGCATGCTCATTCAAAAGTGACTATTCATTATACCTAAGGCTTGAATATTATGACTGTATCAATGCCTCTGTGGAAGTGGTTTGTAGCTGAAAAAAGCTATTACTAATATAAATCTGTTGTTGTTATTGTTGTGTGCTGTTAAATCATTTACGACTTATGGTGACCCTAAAGTGATCCTATCACAGGGTTTTCTTGGCAAGTTTCTTCAGATGGGGTTTGCCATTGCCATCCTCTGAAGCTGAGAGAGTTTCACCTGGCTGAGCCGGGATTCAAACCCTGGTCTCCAGGGTCATAGTCCAATGCTTCAATCACAAATCTGTTAGTCGGTCTTAAACATGCCACAACATTCTCTTCCCCATCTTCAGTTCCTTTGTTTATAGAGTGGGACCTTGGTATCTGAGGGGAATCTGTTCCTGACACACACACACACACACTGTGGATACCAAAATCCATGGATGCTCAAGTCCCATTGTTCTCAGTGGTGGCACATGCATGTGGACACACCACCATTACGGAGAACGGGACTTCAGATTCCAAGTCTGCAGATACCGAGGTCCCACTGTATAATGAAGTAGACTTAGTGGGGAAGTAGATGGGCAGCCATGGGCCCCCCACACCTCGGCCCTACGGCACAGCTTCGCCGCCTCTGAAAGGAGTGCTAAAATAGCGCTCCTTCCACAAGTCGCTGAAGGTGCACTGCAAAAGGCTGGCGGCACACCTTCGGCGACTCTTCCACCGCTGCATGTGCAAATGCTGCAGCAGGAAGGCATTGTCAAAGCGCCAGCCGTACGGAGGGGCTGGCGCTCCGACGATGCCTTCGGGAAGGGGTTGGGGCGCCCACCGTGTGGCTCCCCCTCCCCTTCCTTGTCCCCAAAACGGCCCTTTGTGCCGTCTGCTTCCCCCCATACATGGTTATCGCTTTGAAAACTTCTAACATATATTGAAATGAAAGGCTTAGATACATATTTGGAGACCGTCCACTCACTTGCTCAAACATGTTGAGTGATGGCCAGAAATGTTCTGATACAAATGATAAATATTAAGCTTATTCATCCTCAACACAGTTGAGCAAGTGCATGGGAGGTCAGAGTCCCATTGTGTGGGAAGTCAGACTCTTTCATAGATATTCATCTAGAAAGTTTTAGCTCTCTTATATGTTAGCAAAAGAAAATTGTAGTCTACTTCAATATATAAAGAAGGGAACTGAGGAAGGGGAGAGGTGTTTTGTGGCATGCTTAAAACTGACTGATTTATTTTTTAAAACACTCTTTCCCTTTAAATTACTTTTCTTCTGTGGATTTAACACTCATAAAATGGAAGGACATTTTTTTGTTTTGTGGCTGGTCTTTTCCTCACTGAAAGTTTTAGCAGAACCA